AAGATTGGTGCAAAAATAGTACAAATTTAAAATAAGTGGTCCTATTCTCAGTAAATAATGTTATTAAATGAAGAGAATAGAACATACCCAGAAATTTACTGTCTTAATTATTCCAGAGACCATCCAAATAACAATACTAAGAAATTATGTTATTTATTTATTTAAATCCAGATATGTTTCAGCCCTATCAGGGCCATTATTAGGGGAAACATAGCCTGTTAAATTTTAGAAATATTTGTTTGCCTTCCATATGTAATTTATATATACCATCTTGTATTATAATCATATTATTTCCCAGGTATCATGGGAGTCTGCAACATTAGGATTTTGGTACACTGAATTGTTGGAACGTGATACACAATTTCGTTGCTGGGTAACTAATGGTCGTCCAAATGTATTCTGGATGACAGGTTTCTTCAACCCACAGGGTTTTCTTACAGCTATGAGACAGGCAAGATTAATCAGTCTCTTTTATTTTGTATTTTTTGATAACAATGTATAAATTATAATTAATATTGGTTCTTATATGTTTCCCATCTTAAGTAAATAGCAGGACAAAATTTTGCTCAATGTAACCAAAGAAGTAGGGGTTAATCATGTGAAGCAATAAAAATTATACATGATATTATTTTACTGTATCTGGTGATAAGAAACCATTAATGTTTTCTAGCATATCTATAGTTACACTTTCACTTCCACTTTATTTATTACCAACATTGGATATGTTTCACTTTTGTCCATTATTATTAGTCCGCCTTTGCTTGCATGTTGACCAGATGCCATCACAGGCTAGTAGGACCGTATTTAAATTATTGGCTTGTCATTTCTGTCAGAACGAAGTATACTAACTTTTATGTTTTACATTCGTAATATATGCAGTAGGTCATTTTCCATTGATAACGACTAGTATGAATACAATTGTTAGATCACAGTGAATGTTTATTTGTGCCCTGATTTGTTTATATATATATATATATATATAATCTTACTATCTTTTAACTTTTTCATCACTTTATGTTAGGTTCATGCAAGCTTATATTGCCCTTGAATTGAGTTGTAAAATTATTTTTATACCAGGAGGTGACTAGAGCACATAAAGGCTGGGCACTGGACTCTGTTGTACTTCAGAATCTCATCACTCGCCACAATAAAGAAGATCTCACAGACTCGCCCCCTGAAGGTGTTTATGTGCATGGTCTCTTCCTAGAAGGTGCCAGCTTAGACCGGCACAGTGGAAAGCTCATAGAGAGCAAGCCTAAAGTTCTGTATGAGCAGATGCCAGTTATATATATCTATGCTATCAACACGACAGCTGGAAAAGATCCACGGCTTTATGAGTGCCCTATTTACCGCAAGCCTCAAAGAACAGATCAGAAGTATGTGGGATCCATAGACTTTGAGACAGACAACAATCCGAGACACTGGACTTTGCGTGGAGTTGCTTTGCTGTGTGATATCAAGTAAATTTAGGTAGGCTAGATCTCATAATTTCTTTTACAACATATTGGCCTTCTAGGTGTTCAAGTTTACTCAGAAACCAAATTCATTTTTAGGATCTCATTCATTATTTCATCCTTCTCGATATGATCATCTTAATAATCGTAAAACAGACTGTACTTTCTAATACCAAATCTGAAGTGTTCCTCTGCTATGTAACATTGCATAACATCATATTTTGGAAATGATTTGAAAGTCTCATTGTATAAGACAGTTCTAATTCTATTAAAACCTTTTAAAAAGTACTCAGAATTTAATTTTGTGTGTGTATGATCCACTGTAAGATTTGTGTTAATCAAGTTGCTCCCTATATGCCATATCCAGGATTAAAATAATATTACTAATTTTACCAGTCATCGGAAATAAAGTTTCCCTATAAGTCTTTAGGAGAAAATGTAATTCATTTTGTTTCACTTTAATTTGTTGCACAGTGTGTTTCGAACTATGTCCATGACAGTTGATTATATAATGTTAGAAAATGCTTCTATTAATAGTTTTATCAATCTTAATTGTATATTACAGTTATTATTACTTGCAGTAGAAAACATTATTATGTCTACTGTTGTTTTTCAACTCAATAAAACGTTAACACTGCATGAACTTCAGTATTTTTATGTGGCATGAATATAGAAGGAAGTCTTCTGTGTTTAATCTTTTATTCCTCTACTTCTATCCCATATTAAAAATTTCAATTACAGAAGAATGACTGTGCATTTACAATGAAGCTGTGTAGTGTAACAGAAATTTGTCTCATAAAGATTACTTTATTTCTATAAAAAAGGAAAGTAGGCTATAAGTGTTATGCATCTATTGGGACAGTTTTGAATGCAAATGCTGGCCCTTAGTGTGTTAATAGTTTGATAAATTAGATAAACATGTTTCTTGGTTGTAGCTGTTAGTGGTGAGGCATGATATGAGGATTTGAGGCTGATCCTATCAATTATTCTGGAGTATTACCTTATCTTTTGATGCATGTAAAGACAGCATTACTTTATCAATATTGTATGTGAGTGTTGTACTCTGACCAGCAGTTATCAACAGTTGTAAGATGTATAAGCCCACAGATAATTCCACAAGCCTGTGCCATAGAAGAGGGGATGAGAATCACAGTGAGCAAAATTTTTGAAAATAATAAAAAAAATGGGAAACAAATTTTATTTTTCTGAGTGTAATGTTCACTCTTCCTAGTAAGTAATGACATCATTACAAAAGGATTCCTTATCCTATTTGATAAAAAAACAGTTGTCATTGAATTAATGAATGACGCGTATTGCAAATAAAATATAACTGGTATCTTTATGAAAGTTTTAAGTTCCAGACTTCCATTCTATATAAATATATGAAGTCTCTTTACTTTCGCTCATTATCTTTGCCACTATTTAGATACTTTACGTTATGTAACTACAAGTCTTTCTCATGATCTTGATTCTAATTGTGTATAAGTTTCTTCCCATGTTGTTTAGGTACAAAGATTTGATGCCTCAGTAAAATAGTATGATGTGACTGCATCCAAAACTAAGGAAATATGGGCAAGATTGGAATAACATAAATAGGCTGAAAGAAATTAGAACTACAAATGTATTTTAATCACTAGTTAACTTAGGTTTTTTATTTGAAATATGAATTTATTAATCTCACAGTGATTACAAATAAGAATCATAAATTTTGATCATCATTCCAACTAGGTTCTTCACTGTTATTAATCATTCTCTCCAGAATTGATTGTCCACAACCAAGTCACTTATGGTATCATAATAATGTATTGGTGTGTCTGCTTTCATGCCAAGCATCTACAAAGCTTCTTAATTTCCTACTGTGAGTAATAATTTCTGTAAGATATGTAACCCTTCTTAAGGTTGGTTATGTATTAAAATTATAACGTGATGATCAAGCAAAATTCATTTCTATCCTTATGTTAGAAATAACTGGTTATACATTGTGTTTGGTCATGTGAAATTTCGTATGATAACAGATCATAAACATGCCTACAAATTTCATGTGAAACTTTTTTGTACATTAAAACACGATTTTTTTTAATTTTAAGGTTATGTGTAATGTTAAGGCAGTACAAATTAGTACTGACTGTAATGCTGAATAAAGACAGATCACTTAGTTGTAAAATTATTAACTGTTAATTTCTGATTGCCTTTGTATACAGATCGTCCTCTTGTTTTTAAAAATAAACAATTTCTGGCATTGGTTTGATCAATTCTTGAGAGTATAAAACAAAATTATGACATGTTACATTTGTTTAAAATGTTATATAAACACTTTTAATTTTGTTTTTATAACCAACACAGACACGTGAACTTGTATGTTTATAATTTTCAGAATTACATTGATTAAATGTGAGATAGTTACAGAAGTCCCTCTACTGGGAAGAAGAAATACTCTCTCTCCATTTATTGATTTTGTGTGTTATATAACCACAGCAGCTGAATGATATCATTTCTGAGTGTGAAAGATATAGTGCTTTGACTCAGCTTTCCTAATAAGTTATGTCCAAAAATAAATGATCTAAAGGTCAAGTGATGGTTGGAAACCCATGTGGTTTTGTGTAGTAAAGGTGTGAGATAATTAGTTTTACATTTTGTACAGTGGTAATACTGAATATATTATCAGAGTGTAAGATAGAGTTTGTACTTTAGTGATTATGTATTACAGTGTAATTAAGGCAAGTAGTTCAGAGATTAGGACAGAATCACCATGGCATACAAACAGCTGCCTGGGTTTGGAGTTCAGCTGCCTGAACTTACATTTGACGGGGTAAGTCCTGTACTGGGATTATATCCAGAATTTTGGCAACTGCAGCCACTCTATAATCTTTTGGTTATGAAGTTTACTTTCAGCATGATGTTATTTCCAAGTTCAAAAATCTTGGACTCTATTAAAAAAAAGGAAATTTCAAGAAAGTGATAAATTTACACCTTGAAAACCTGATGTACTTCCATTTGAAAACTGTACTGTTGCAAAATCATTAATATTATTTAGATACAGCAGAAATTGGATATAAGTCTAACCTAAAATAACTATCCATTTGTTTAACACAACCTGTTTCTCTAAAATCCATTCACATATGTTGTGGGGAAACATATTGGAAAGTGGTCTCGTAGAAATGCAAGATAACAGAGTGGTGTTGGGTATATCCCAGAGACTGAACTTTATATTATTATTTTGTTGCAGTGGTTGGACTGGTTTGTAAAAGTTGACAATCCACTGATATTCTGGAGAGCTCAGCCAACCTACATCTTAGCGGCACTGGTATTTCTGTTAGGTGCTGCTGGAAATTTGGTACATGGTGAGCATACATGTAATATTTTTGGTTAAAAATTACTCAACTTTTTTGTGGAACTAATGTAAATAAGATGGTAGCACTAGAACTTGATACACACAGGTTGGTATGGATTGAGTGAAAAATATTTGCCAGTCCCAAGGAACAAAGTTCTCTCTCTTTTTTTTTTTAATATATTGATGCACTTAATGGGACATTACATCATTATCTCAGAAACCCCTAACATTTAAACAATGGAATACATTTAACAAATTGTGGAAGCTATGAAGCTATGGTATGGTACAAGGTACTGGAATTTGATACTGTTCCTGTTTTTAATTTAATGTATAAGAAATGTTACTATAATGAGTAACTGTTTGCTTTTGTGCATATGTTTGTCAGTTGTTTAATCATATTGGCATGCAATTTATGCTTATAACACAAAAGATTATAGTTTTGATGCTTTTAAGTTTATAAGACTCTTAACTCAAGTGACTAAATTATTCTTACAACTTTGGCAGTATATTTCATGTCACATACCTTTATATAAGTATTGTATCATTAAAAAACAATGAAAAGAGTTTTGATAAATATCTGAGAAATGCTGACATGAATGCTATGAATTTCCTTGTGACATTGAAGCATAATTCGGTAATTTTCACTGGTTTTTGTGGCATAAGTAATGTGACTCTTTACACCTGCAATTTTCTTTTATCTTTCCACATACTATGAAATGAGAAGTTTAAATTGGAAGATTGTAGAGGCCATGATGTTCAACCATTCAGTGATTATATCAATCAGAAGAGTATGCATGTCAGTACCTAATATACAACTGAGTGAATAATGGAGAAGTGATCAGGTGGTGCCAAGGTCTGAAAATATATGTGGAAATGGTGTTCTGGCACAGAAACTAATTCATAAAAATAAACATTAACTTTCATTGTAGCAATTTTAAATGGAGGACGATTGCCATACCTTTGGTTAGCTACAGTACTGCATGGTATTGTAGTGGAGATTGTTACCTACAATCTGGAAGACATTGATAATTTTTGGCACTCACAGACACCAGTTATCTTTCTGGGACGGCGCTTGCCACTTCACATAATTGCATTGTGTGAGTACATCTGTAGTTAACTCTTTGAGATTAATTAGATGTACAATAAAACCTCACTCATAGGAAGAGTATTGAAAATATATGTAATAACAGTTTATGCTTGAAGTATTTGAATAGAGCTTATGTTTATTAAGAGCCAATGTTGAATGCTTACAAATATCATACAAAAAGGGTTTGTGAGCCAAAGAAGGTTAATTAAATATAAGCTACATCACTTGACCTGTAAATCTGTAATAAAATTTCCATTTTAAACCTTTAGACACTTTATGAATGTTATCATCCCCACTTTGCAGCTGAATTGAATCAGCACTATTACCTAAGCTGGTAATGTGTTTGACAATTAATGATTAATTATTTAATAATTGAATAGCTGTTTTATACTTGGAAATCTTAGGGATTTAGTCTTAGCCTCTTGCCATTTAAGGTCCATATGGTTAATATCTGTCTTACAGATCCTGTCTTCATCTATCATGCATCTGTTGCTGTGTCAAAGTTGAGGCTACCAACGTGGGCTGAACCATTTGCAGGTCAGGAATCATTAATATCTGATGGCTGTGTATTAGATTTCCTGATCTATTACTATGAATGTGTTATGTACTGACAACAAATTTATCCTTTAAACAAATCCCCAATTTAAGGCAATCTGACTGAATAGCCAACCACCAGAGGTCCTCATGATGGTCCCTTAATCCATGGAGTGCGGTCATCATCAAAAGTCCTTAGTCTCTTTTAGGAAGAATATTCTGGAGGTATACAGCTTTATTCCTGGGTTAGAGTCCAGCTTTAATGATTTGTGAGTCATACCCAATCTCTGGGTAAATGCCTAAAATAAAAAAAGTGCCTTGAAATGTATCATAACTTCCTCTGTCTAAATATATACATCTCATTTGATTCTATGTAACCTTTGCAGTTTAAAAATTTGTTAATAATCTAAGATCACTCAGTTTGGAATGTAACATTTTATTTGTCATTAATTTTAAAATCTGCACAAAAATGTAATAACCAAATATATTGACATATTTCAGTTGGCTTGACAGTGGTGCTAGTAGATATCCCATATGATGTGGTGTCAGTGAAATTTGCACACTGGACATGGCATGACACAGATCCAAACATTTTTGACCGCCATTATTGGGTGCCCTGGAACTCATACTATTTTCATGCCTGCTTTGCTGCAAGCTTCACCTTTTGGTTTCATGGCTGGAGAAGGTGGTTGTATGCAGATAATCTGAGGAAATGGGATGTCAATAGGTGAGCACATGTCCAAGAGCGGAATGTTCATTTTATTTTCTTCCAGCTGCTCTGTTAACCACGCCTATTAATTTCAAGAAAACATTATACTTATTAATTATCATAATTTTTTTTCCAGTGATACTCAATTCTTTTCTGTGTACTAACAACAGATATAAAATATGTTAACACACAAAGAGAATAATATTTTGTTTAATACTATTGTTTCCTCACACTCCACTTGCATGGTCCTGGATTTACACACAATTGATATTGCTGAATATAAACTGTTACAATAAAACACACAGAAATGCCATTTACCAAAGTAAACATAAATTAATAATACCAAAAATTATTGAGAATGGCAACTAATTGCTACATAATACATCAAATGTCCTAAGAACAACAGTTGTCTGTATGTGCAGCTTTCTTTAATAGTAATACTCAAGAATCCTTGAAAGAAATTATTAACAGTGAGACTATCTGGTTTGTTGGATGTTTGGACTGGTCCATCATCTGATGTTATAAAATTACACAGTGGGCAACATCCAAATACCTGAAAATCCAGATTGTGTTACGCCATCATCAGAACTCTTTAGAATAGAGTATTTTACTCTTGCTGTTGATGAACCAAGTACTTCTGTCCTGCTGTGTCTAAGTAGAGTATTCCAGAGACTGCTGATTTTAGGTAATTCTATAGATTCAATGATAATTGGTTTGTTATCTGATTTACTTAAGCATGGTGGTGAAGATCGGGTAATTCCCTAGACTTATATTCTGGAGATATCTGGTTGATGTATCATCAGCAATACAAACTATCATGGCTGAAGTTTCTCATACTTTCCAGATAAATTCTTGAATCATACCTTGAAATAGGCCATGTTTTCCTCCTTCAAAATCATTTTCTGCTCATCATTGACATTCATTTCTGCAATTTGTTTAATGTTATATACTCTATGTGGTTGAATGGTTGAAACAGTCATTAAATGGCCTAAGAACCAATCAATTCTCTAGTTTTTGCTCTGCTATAAATACATGTGAGACTATACAGGTAGTGGCAACACTAAGATGGGAAGAAATTTTGAATTGGTGAAGAAAGAAACATTTTCCATACCCATGTTCATATTAAGTTTCTTTAATGTTTCAGAGCATAGAACTCACCCTTACATTTTTGTCAGAACTTTGAGCTGCTTCCTGTATAATGAGTCCATTAGGAATGTTAGTCACATAGGCTCATATGTATGTACTCTTTTTTTTTTCTTGTTGCTTTTTATAGTGTTGTGAAGGAGCTGGTGTGTGTGGTGCTGACGGCTGTGCTTGGAATGCCAGGTGGTGTTCTGCTATTCTTGCCATTATACCACCCTCTTCATGACCTGGCAGGTATTCACTCCGAGGTGACATTCTTCATGATCTTTACCATCTTCTTGCTTATATGCTGGACTGCTGATAGGACACCCTCCTCAGGTGCCAGGCCCTATTCAGGTATGTAGTTTCCCATATCTATGACATAGTTCTTATGTGCAATGTTTTGTTTGTTGGTTTAATGTTTTGTAACAGAATTTAACATGATGGCAGTTTTTGATGGGTTATTATTTTGCCTGGACTTTTCACCTAATATTGTTATTGTTATTATGTTGAGGACAGTGAAATGAATGGAACCTATAGGAAGCATGGAAGAAATAACAGCTGTTTTACTATTATTGGTGGCATCATAGTGATTTCTCTTTTAATCAGGACTGCATACATCTGAGAAGGGGCTGTCAATCTTGCTTCTCCATTTGGCACTCCACTATTCTTTGTACCTGAGCTTTGTAATTTTTGGTCATCCAGAAGAAGAAGTTTCCATTGGTTTGCATGAAAGAATTGGACCCTGCAATGAGACAGTACCTGTCTACACTGCTTCTGGAATAGTGAGTATGCATTTGTGAGATTTAAGAATTCATTTGTTAAAAAGAAGATGGTAACTAAACTTTGAATATGAAGATGGTTGTCTTCTGAATTGTAGCACCATGTAGTTTGGTAGAACTTTGCCAGAGTTTCTGGAGTACTTGCTACCTCTGTAAATGTTATAACTTCATAACCCATAGTAAGGAATTATTGTTTCTTTGCTTTTTAAGTAATTGCACAGGTTGTGTAGTGTTGAATTATATTTATTATCTTTGTTATTGTTATGAGTGTTGGACAGGGAGAAGGCAGTATTTTTAAGGTACTATCTCAGTATTGCTGTGGAGAGAGGAAAATCATTTGAAACCATAGTCAGGATAGCCAATCACCAGTTCAGCTTCAGTCAGGTGTTATCACTATGCTGACATTCTGAATTTACTCAGGAATTCGTGTTTTCAGTTACAGATACAAGCAGATGTCTTAATGTTATTGTGTCAACAGATGGTCAGACATATTGAGAAATATAGTACTGCTTGATGATGTGCTCGCTAATTTTAAACACATTTTCAAATGTTATGCAAATTAATATTGCAATAACTTCACATTTTATTGTGGTATTCTTCATTCTGTTATACAGGTACTCAGTAGACGACGCTATCTGTGTACTTCTGACTATGATGAAGATTACTTTGACTTCCATTGCTTACCCAATGGACAAGTTCCATCGGAAGGTAGCTACTGGTACACAATTTGTGGTACTCCATTTCACAATCGGGCTGAATATGTGGCTGTCATCAGTACCATTTGCTTATTAGCATTTACTGTTTTCCGAAACCTGCACTTGCATTCAGGATCTGGTATCCATCAGGTTGAAAGAAAGGCAAAGAGACATTAGCAGTAAAAAATATTTTAAAAGCCACATTGAAATCAAGCAGATGACTTGATTGCCTTATGTGCAGAACAGTGTGTAGGATTATTTGTAAAAAAAAAAATATTTTTTTTAATTTCTGGCTTAGTGTGACTGAATCTTGCTCTTATTCCAATGGTCCAGAGTTTATGCATAGCAATCCACTCATTGTATTTTACTGCCAGTAGTCACCAGCTGTGTGCCTGATAATGTTTCGTTATATTGAAGAATAGAGAAATGTTTTGATAAACTATATCTGAAGTACTCTTTGGTCGTGAGTTGGTATCAGTGTGAAACATGTTATAATGTGTTTAATGCTATACAATATACAGGAGATGGAGAAAGAATGTTAGTATTACTAATACATGTGGCTCATTTGAACTGTTGTATCGTGCAAACTGTTATTGTTATTGAATGAAAGTCAGCAAATTACAAAGTTCAAAATGTGTTGGATGCAGCGATAATTAATAAACTGTACTTTAAACACAAAAATGATAATTTATTAACTATGTTGTCTCTGTTACACCTACACATAAATGCTTTCAAGAAAGTATCATCATATTGCTACAGTTAATATATACCCTGTTTCAAAAATTGTATTATAATGCAAAACCAGTAATTTATGAATAAATACAACATATGACACAGCAGAATACATATTTTGTTTACAGGAAAGTTCCATAAAAAATTATGACTAACGTTTGTCAGACCAATACTTTTGGATAGTTATTTTTCAATTAAAATTTAAAAACCAAACATTAACATCTGGATCTATTACTGGAGTTTGCTGACGTCTGACCTTAGCAACAACAATTGTTTTTTTGTTTTTTTCAAGACATGTTTACTGCTTCTATGTTAGTGATTTAAGGGTTAAGAGTTGGAAACAGAGAAGAAAATAATCTAATATATATGTGAATGTTTTTTTAAACCACCATTTGTTGAAATTTTATTACAATTTTGTGTGTTTGCTTATCATAATCTGTAGTGTAGAATGTATGTAAAGCTGCTAGGTGAGATGTGTCGTTACAGCTACAGGAATATGATTTATGTTGCATTGGATGGCTTATGCATGATGTGTTTCTTACAGTCAGTGCATTTCTTTCTTGTCTTTGCATATTATACTGGAAAGTTTATTGGGAAACTTGACATACCCACAAAAAAAAAATACCTCCCAAGAAATGTACCAAAGCTCTGATTCTTCTGGAATAGTCACAAAGTTACTTGTGTGGCAGACAGTTTTAACAATCTCTGTGTTTTTGTTTCTTGAAAGTTATTGTTTCCCATGGACACAAACAACATTTTTTTCTCCTTACTGTGTTATGCTTTAAGTTGCGAATTTTTTGTTATTTTTTCAAGCAACATACATGAAGAATTAAACAAGTGTTGTTCCTACAGTGGAAAGTAAATTTCTCACTAAAATATTGTGAAAATATCCTTGGCCTTTTTCCTTAATAAGGAAAAACATGTGACTTACAAAGCAATAGTAGTTACAAATCTAAAAGGAGTGTTTGGTAAAACCACGTCAAATATGCTGGTCATGAGTCTATCAAAACTATTCTGGTACAACTTCAGAAAATGCAGCGGGAAGTCATACCTTAATGGCAGAAAACAAAGAGCATAAATTACATTTCCTGATTCAAATTATGGCACATACTCAAATTGGGATATTGTAAAACATGGAGTTTCCCAAGGTTCAATACTTGGTCATTATCTTTTCCTCTTATATATCAATGAACTACCACCAAACATAATTTTGTAAATGTGACCACCATATATCAAGTGTTAATCTCTCTAGTTATCTGAAAGGTGCCATGCAGGGATAAAATTCTAGGAGAGAAAATGATGGGGCATGGAGAAAACTGCATAATGATGATAATCTCTACTCCTCCCCCATCATTGTCAGGGTGATTAGGTCGAGAAGAATGAGATGGGCGGGACATGTAGCACGCATGGATGGAACAAGAGGTGTGCACCAATTATTGGTTGGGAAGCCTGAGGGGAATAGACCGCTGGGGAGACCTAGACGTAGATGGGAGGATAGTGTCAGGCGGGATCTATGGGAGACAGGAGTTGAAGGAGACTGGATTTTGTTGGAGGGCTTTGGTTAATTCGGTGATGAACCTTCGGGTTCGGTAAGCCATCTAGTTAGTTAGCTCTTCCACCTAGCATTAAAAGTTTAAATCATGTTCTACAACTGTTTAAGCTAGAATAAAAAAAAATTACCCATTCTAGTCTGTAAAAGAATTTACTTAAATTTAAGATTATTAAATATTGTAAATATTTAAGTAAATAGCTGAAAGTAGTAGTAATTGCTGGTATTCTTATTATGATGTTCCACATCCTTGGCTTTTACTATGAAAGATCTATGGATTGCAAACACATTTTGTTATTCTCTTCTATTCACAGTTCAACAAGATTCACGCGTCTTCTGAAAATGGAGTAAGATCTTCACAATTTTAGGATTTAAAAACTTTATTTGTGTATAAGAAATAAGTTTAAAGAGAGGGAATGTGGTGGTATCTTTCATAGCGATTGAGCTACCGTCGTCTGACAGGGTATTTCTTCCGAGGGAGAGATGGCAGGATAGTCTACTTACTAGGTGGTTTATCTATGTTCGTCTTAGGAGTGTCTAAATTTACGTTCATCGTTGTGTGAATGGAATGTTTGCTAAGCCTTGGAAGGGCGTTGTTTTTATTAAGATTGTTTTGTTTGTGTGTTGTGGGAAATTCTAATTCTGTTTATGCATAGTAGTAAGCCCGACATGTAAGTAATATTTGAGTTTTGGTAGCCATAATTTCATGCAATTACAACTGTTTGAAATTGGTTTATTTTCACACGTATGCAAAACACACCCATTTATGTAGATGATGAGTGCCCCCGTATACTGGTTGATATACTTGAGGAGCGTATGTATATTTTGATTCCGTTCTAGTTGCAGACTATGAGTACGAGCCAAGACAATGTCCACGTATGACACTCCATGGAATTATACATCAACAACCGCTACACCTACGTTTCCGTTTCTTACTAGTACTCACAATCCACGATTGCATGAGAAAATTTATGGAGACTTCACATCATTTTATGTGACTATAACAATTTGTACCGTCTTGGGTGCTTTTCTGTTTCTATTGAACATTGCGCTGTGCTGTTGCTCAAGATATAAGAAGTACTGGCAAGACAGTAATACAGGCAAGTATAAAGTGTCACTTTTTTTTTAACAAAACAAACAAGAATTAATACAGAAGGTCCTGACATGGAAATCGATGCATTTTAAATCACCCAAAGGTTATAGATAACTTATTTATGTTAACCTGAAAAAAATGCATCCCTTGAATGTGAGCTGCAATTGAATTGATGGTCATAGCAACATCATCTGTGGTGAAGTGAATCCTAGGTTATTTAGTGACACTGTATCAGTTACAGATGTTACGCAATGTCAGTAGGGTGTTGAATTAGTTCCAATGTGGAACTGAAATTGAAAGCAGCAATTTATGAGTCTGATCTGTGGGTATTTAGTATTATGAAAGGAATAATATTTATGTAACTGCTGTATATAGACAGATGCAATTGACCAAGGTTCATAGTAAAAATGTGGAGTTTTTTTATACTCATTCTGCTAGGTATATTGTCTGCTGCAGGTAATCGTTGGATTCTTCCAATCTGGACCAAGACTCCACATCAGCAGCCACCACTGGATTACACAGAACTAGAAAAGTATCCATTGCCTCCACAGCAGGTGTTTGACACAGCAGAAATACCTTTGGAGTATATGGAATTAACACACAAAAAAGAAAGTGATCTTTAAGTTTGATAGTATTCTTATTCATATTTTTAAGAGCCAAAATGTTTCATGTTTACTGGCCAGCTGTCACTGCACTGACAATGGTAGTGCTCCTGGGAGTAATTGTGGTTATACTTAAGTTTGGACCACGCCTCTGCGGGACACGTAATACTGCCAAACCCACAGAGTTTGATTGGCAGGATAGAACCTATGAACAGAAAGTCTCATATGCTTGATCCCTCTGTATCCTGAGCCTAAGAAAGAATATTAGTCTGTTTAGAAAATTTATATGGTTTTAAAAAGGAATATAGGGACAAGAATTCTCATACTAGGTAGATTTATGGAATATACATTATTATTGCTATGCAGTAGTTTTCAGTATGTCTGCAGCTTCTTGAAGTGAGCAACACATTTAGTACCTCATAATATAATGAACTTGAGCAGTATATTGGCCCTGTACTGTGACTAATGATCTGTTGAGCATTCCCATATATCTCAACAAGAGTCCTGCACTTTGAATAGCTTGTACTAGTTTGCTCTTGGGATTTAAAGATGAGTTCCATAGAGATGGTACCTGAGTCCAGCAACTAAACTTAAAACAGCACAATATATAAGGCTGTTTCATTAGAACTATTAAAAGTGGGTAATTGCTTTACATCTGAAGTCCATTATCTATAGGGTAGGTAAAATGTAATGGAGATGAGTTTCAAAACACAAATTTTTAAATTATAACATATGAACAGGACCATTTCTAAAAACTCAGCTATACTCTCAAGGTTAATTTTTTTCTGGTTGTAGACTTTTTCAGACAAAACATGAAATTGTTGTCTGGGAGGGTAGCCTGAAGTATCTTGTATGATTAAACTTGCAACTTAACAGAATTAATTCTATGTCAGTGCTTTGGTGGTAAGGGAATTAATTATTTTGTTTAAAATATAAATGTGTGTTGACTACTTTTTAACACAGTGGAGTGTGTTTTAAGTATGTTAGGTATTATTGAATTTGTGTTTACCATGTGCTCATTTTTGAAATATAAATACATCTTTAATGCAGTGCCTAAGAGTGCATGTGCCTGTTCAATCACACATAGCTGGTTGTTATCCTATGTCACTTTTGATATTATAGCAATAATCCATACAAAATAAGCTAAGGCATTATGTAAACTCCTAGATATAAAAATTATTATATCTACAAGTATTTTCCTGAATATTCTTGTAAAACATGAATACTGTCTTCTCAGCCCAAAACTGTATTTAGATACATTAATAAAGTGGCCTTATAATGAATTCATGTGAATGAAACACAAGGTAATTCTTGTATCACCAGAATTAATCAAAGGACTTCAAAGATATGCATTTGATGATATTATTTGGTCTTTAGTAAAGTATTTTTTAAATTTTGGCTTTCACATATTTTACAGTGCTACTTATTCTACATTTTAGAAAACAAAGTATATAATGTACTGCAAGGTTATGATATGCAAATAAGTAAAGCAGTTGAGATCATTTAGATTTGCAGCTAATGTTAATGACCCTTAAAATCCATGGAACATGTTCTTGATAATGAAGGGTTACACATAGGCCACTTGTATAATATGAGACTCAGAATGTTTTGTTGCATTTTTCATTTTGATACATTTTTTTATAGCTGTAGAAGGTATCTAGAAGTTAATTTTTAGGATTATTATTTTATATTAGTATAATACTCCCAACAGCTTTGCTGACTTTTGTTTTAGATACTAATGGGAAGCCATTTATGTAAAATACCTACTCTGTCAGTTGTAGTAGTGTTAGTAATTTCTTTTAAATTAAGGTGTAGTATGTCAATTTTTAATAGTGAAATGCTATTGTAGCTGATTAGTAATGAATGAAATATATTACATTACTAGCAGCTAACTTTGGTGCACTGTCATTAATTCATTATATGTTATTGGGTCACTGAAGATGTGAAACTTGCAATATTATAACAAATGCTGACTTGTATCATTCCAAGCAGTAAAACAGTGATGAATCATCCCAAACAACCATGAACTACATACCACATTACTTACTCTGTTCCGTCCATATTCAATATTTTGTGTGATGAAATGTTCTGATATTTATTGTCATGTAGATGCACAGTGTTGGAAAGGTGGAGTGTTTCAAAATAAACTGAAGATATTTTAAAGTTAGTGGGACTGGCTTTATTCCGTCCAGTAGAATATTACAGAATTTTACAAAGTCAGTAGAAATTTACAAGTCTATGGTATAAAATTACACGTGTGTATGTGTGTGTGTGTGTCTGTGTCACATTGGATTTGTCATAATAAAAATGGAAAGGAACCTTAATCACTTCCACGGGCTATTTGATTCAAGTGCATAGCTTTGCGCATATTGACCAACCAACCAAAAAGCTAACTGAGGGCGGAGTCCTGCGCAAGCGCAAGCATCGTCCCTACCTAGGTGACACCATACCTGCGCACAAGGCGTATTGCTGGAAATGGTACACGGTCTTAATTTAAAAAACTGAAATTATGCTAACGCTAACGGGGTTATGCGCATATTGCATACTACAAGCTCCTATTTATAAATAAGGAACTAACCATTTGCAAAAATGAGTCCATTGTTTAAAACCTAATACCAGTTTCCAGTGAAATCTAAACAAAGTCTTTTGAAATAATTTAATTATTGTGGCAATTTTTCTTCCTTTTTGTACATTATTTATGTGCCTTGTTATGATCATATGAGGTGTTTAAGAGGGGATGTTTTGTAAGTGAAGGAAGGTAGTAATATTCTACTTTCTTAAATTAAGAACTTTGGCACTATTATTAATGTGTTAGACACAGTTCACAAGTGGTATGACTGATAATATATATGTTGAAGAATTTCTCATACTCTACTTTGAATTCCATGTCCACTATCAGTTACTATATTGTATATGTGGATAATTCATGAACAAATCATTCAGTTCAGTGTATTAATTGAATCATTTCACCTCTGCCAACCTGACTTGTTCTGTGATTCACCTACACTAACTCTGAACTCTGGAAAACGGGACAAATTCAAGATCACGTTTCTTTCCCACAAAATAAGAATTTGAAATAATGATGACAATTTGGGCTATTAAGATTAAATTGCATGAGAAGTAATGCATTTGCAAAGTGAACAAGCAAAAATCCCTTTGAGGTATTGAATCAACTGAATCAGTAAATCATTCAAGGTCAAAGAAAAAATGATGAATCAGTGTGTCATTCTTTTGAACAATTCACCTTGGCATACTGGATTGAGTGAATACAGTAAAATGAATCATCCACGCCTGTCATTTTGAAACACTTCCAGTCTATGCTCTTGTTTATTAATGCAACTCAATGGTTTTAATTGCATTTTATTATGATTTTATTGTACTTTTATATACAGAAATATACAGTAAAAAAATGCCTGTTGTAAATTCTTTTATCCCAGTTAATAGTTGTTATGAAGGTTGGACTGTTTCCATCTTCAGCCAGAAGATGTAGATTACATATTCTTCCAAGTCCACATGGTGCCACAACCTGCAAGAATATAATTCATATCATCACTTCCAGTCTCATAAGGTTGGAATTGGCATTGTGCATAACTGTAGCCAGTATGCCCCTGCATTTCATTCACAGCTGTCAGGTTATTTGCATCCATGATGCCATGAGCTTTGTATTAAGGTGGTGGAGGTGTACAGTCTAATGTTTGTTCTTTGCCAAAGCTTTGTCAACCTTAAGCTTCTTGCCTATTAAATGTAGCATTTGGTCCCAGTTAGGTACAAGATTATGTTATCTGTGAGTACAGTTGTGAAGTTGCTGTGAGCTATTGACGGCTTCAGATCAATTCTTGCTGGAACAATTCATGTTGATGAAATACTTTGGCTAATTCATGTGTCAATGTGTGTGGTATTGTGCCAATAAAATGTATTATTTCCTGTGGGCAAGAACTGTGCAGTGAATCCTTCAAAGGTTCTTCCGAAGAGAGATGAATGAAGGGCATGCACAATGTGCTTTTCAACATATATTAGGCCAATTAAGGATGACCAAGACATGCACCATACACAGAAATTGCAAGATATGTAAAATATGCGATTAGACCAAGTTGTGTGTGGGTGCATAATATTAAAATAGGTGACATTTCAGGTTTTCACAGAACCGACTATGAAATAATTTCTAAAAGTAAGGTTAGGACATGATTAAACCGGAATACGACGACAGTCCAGGTGTGGACTGATAAGAACAAGGTAATGAATCATGTCTGTGGACAGTAATAACCACAGATGGTACACTTCACAGGTCATTTGTAACAAGAAAGTTCCCTCCGAATATGGGAAACCGTAAAAATTTGGAGTGGATTAAAACTCACTTTTTTCAAAATACAGAAAACTCAGTATTTCTAAAAGAAACTCATGATTTGCGTTTTTAGTTTCCTATGGAGTTTGATAAGACCTTATATGTGGCTGGTTCTAGGCAACTCGCACAGATTTGCTCTGTTTTGGTCCTTTATATAGCTGTTGATTAGGGCCGTTTTAGTGATAAAAATTATATGTTAAAGACTGTAACATGTTTTCATTTGTTTTCTGACAGTTGAATTCACTGTGGGAGACGAGTCAAAATTTGAAGCTAATAGAGGATGGAAATTCTGTGATCATGAAGCGGGAAATATTTATTCAAGGTAACTTTTGATGTCAGTTCTTGGCATGGAGTTTTGACTTCCTGTTCCGTAACGTTCATGTAGGGAGCGGCTTGCAAAAGTGTATTGTGATTAGTTATTTGAATTTCTAGTGATTAATTATTCTTCCCAAGGTTTATAATTATGTCAGAAGGTAATATATAATGAAACATTACATAGACTTTAAGAATTGTTTTAGTGATGAAAAATATCCACATATTTATTACATTCCATGGATTCATAAGTTACTCTGATGATTATAGGATATTGAACAAGTCGTAATAATACAATACATATTGCAATTTATGCTAATATAACCATTTTCAGTTAGTGTTACATGATTGAAGTTTTTTTTATGTTTTAAGAAGTGGTGAAGAGTGAGGATATATGGACTCCATATAAAGAGATGCAGAGTATAGTTGAAGCAGTTGTTTCCAGACCTGTTCAAGGTGTGCTGAAGCAGGTGGAAGGTGTTCTTCGGAAACACAAACAAAATTTCATCACATTACTTAAAAACCCAGTAAGAATTTTTTTTTTGCAGTAATGTTACATGCTGGTACTACATGGTCAATAAATTTTGGAAAAACAAGGTTGTGCAATATTGGTGGTGATGAATTGATTTGTGCTCAATATAAGACAGTGTTGTGATCAGTTAAGAAAAATATATATACATTTTAGAATAGAATAGAATTTATTTACATTCCATAGATCCTTCATAGGCACAAGCCAAGGATGTGGAACAGGTCATAGCACAAATACAATACTTGTTTCTAGTACAAATATAAATACATAGTTATAACAACTATTTACAGATTTTTGGAACTACAATATTACAGCAAAATAATTGAAGAGAAACCATCATCATTATTATTTACAAGTATTTATAATAGTTGAGACTTTTTGGGTGATGTAAATTCTTCTACTGGCTTAAACACTATTATGTCGTGATTTAAACTTTTGATAGTAGGTGGAAGATTATTGAATAACTTAATTCCAATATAGTAAACACCTTTTTGATGTTTACGGAGGTTAGAATTTGGCACATGAAAGTTGTATCTGTATCTTGTTCTTATGTTGTGGATATCTGTATTTGTTTGAAATTTTTCCATGTTATCCTCTACAAATGATAATAGCGAGAGCTAGAATTCCCTGGGTAGTGGAAGAATATTAAACTTCACTTCTTAAATACTTTCCTTCAAGAGGCTCTCCTTTTAGTGCCTGCCATTATTTTAATTTTCCTCCTTTGAATGTAAAATAAATTTTTGCTGTCTGTTGAATTTCCCCAGAAAATGATTCCATGTGACATGATGGAATGGAAGTAAGCAAATGAACTAATTTTAAAGTTTCTGTTTTTATGAGTGCTGCAACCGCCCTCATAGCAAAACTTGCCGAGCTTAGTTTAGGGATAATGTATTGAATATGTGTGTTCCAGATTGTTTTAAGACAGCGTGAGACCACAGATAATTGATGCCAAGATACTCATTACTATGCTGTATATAAAATCTGTCCCCTTCTTTTGAAACTGTTTAAGAGAAAATCAGTATCCAAACTGTGCAGTGTGGCTAAAGAATTATCAAAGCTGGACATGTAAAATTCAGTATGATGGTAGTTTATAATGTGTGTACATGTTATGTATGAAAGTTTCTTTTGTGTTGAAATTTTTTTACGTGGTAATTAAACATTTGAGGTTATATTTTGAAAATAAATGGAAACCAATCTTTGTAAGGTTAATCATTCTTAGTTTTCATTTATTATTTTCCTCATATCTATGCCTTAATCTTTCATATAATTTTATATTCTATTCACCTAACCCATTATATTTTAATTACTTTACAAGGGACAGGAAAAGAATATTTGCTGTGGTTGTATGTTAATTTCTGGACATTTGATGTTTGCAATACTTTTTTTCATAGCCCAAGAATTCTAAGAGTCGTGAAGAGTTGTACAAAGGGATTACTGAAGGTGTTTCACTTCCTGGAATTGGACACCAGATTTTGCCAAAAGAGCTGGTGGATGAAGCAATCATTATATCAGATATGTATGACCTGAATGAATACATAGCCCTGGATCTTCTGTGCACAGGTAAATTATTATGTATTGGTTCTCTTACTAATTGTCCTATCATTTGTATTAAACTTCAGATATAGATTGCTGCTGATTATTATTTGAAACACAGTAAATGGGTAATAATAATAATAATAATAATAATAATAATAATAATAAGAGTTTTTAAACTCTGAGTATGAGAGGCTTATAATGGCTTTCAAAAGAAATTATGAATAATGAATTTCCTGCAAAAGACTATCTCCTATACTAGTGCAGAAATCTACTAAAACAAAACACTTTGAATTGAGTTTTGTGATCATGTTAGATTGCCGTTTTGGATACTACTATTGTGAAAGGCCGTGCTTCTTGGGTCGCTCCGACTACTACGTGCGCACGACCCCAACTCACTGTAGCCGCCCATCTCGTGGTTCGAGCCGTGACTACAGTTTCATCTGGGCTGCAAGCATCGGAGTTATGACGGCAACACGCCTGAAGTTTTTGGCTGCTTGTGGACCAATTAAACAATTCATAATAATAATAATAATAATAATAAGAGTTTTTAAACTCTGAGTATGAGAGGCTTATAATGGCTTTCAAAAGAAATTATGAATAATGAATTTCCTGCAAAAGACTATCTCCTATACTAGTGCAGAAATCTACTAAAACAAAACACTTTGAATTGAGTTTTGTGATCATGTTAGATTGCCGTTTTGGATACTACTATTGTGCCTTGCTTTCTGTGTCCATGTCTGTGGTCATATGGATTATGGAAAGGTAATGACTCATACCTGAGTATGTTACCAAAGATGGCAGAAGCAACTTTTTTGCATTATCTGCCAGCATCCTGCACACTATAAAACAAGACAGAAGTGTGACAGGGTATGTAAAAAATAAATATGTAATGTCTGGGCTGCCATAACAATGGACGGATTCAGGTTAAGAGACAGGTTTTTAATAATACATGAATTTTATTTTAAGCTGAACAGCAAATGCCATATTACCCTGGACTGACACGTGGCTTGGTAGCAGTTCTGCTGTATTATGATGGGCGTAAATCAATTGCAACAACACTTCGTGCACTTGTCCAGGCCAGAAGAGGCATTTCTTGGACCATGGATTCCTCTGAAGAAGTGTTGACATATATCACTGAATATACGCAAGAACTTATGGAGTATGGCCTCATCAACAAGATTCTGGGTAACTGGAGCAATTGAAATTTTTAAATATATTTCAGAGTTCAAGTATTTGTTTTGTGGATATGAAAATCAAGATAAAATGGACTAAATTGGAGGTTCACACCATAAATTTTCTCAGTGAAAAGTTGATAAAAAATTTTGAAGTTGGGCTGTCACTGCTTTTTTGGAGCGTTTGCAAAAATGTGCTTATTAGCTGCACCATGTATACCTATCTTTCTGCATTGTACAAGTGAGAACCACTGTGTTAATTTTTTATGAAATTTTATACTGTGGAATTTCATTAAAAATTGACACATTCTACTTTTGCTCAGAATTCAACAATGGTTTGGACTTTAATTAAAGACTGCATGTGTATGCTGAAGTAACCCATGTGTCATTTGCCAGAAACCCCATCCTTGTCAAGATTATTGACCATATCATGTAGGTCACTGTTATCCTGTTTCAAGGAAAACTACAAGAGAGATAGGCAGACATGGTTGAGCCCATATGAAGTGTGAAGAACACCTAAAAATACACTACTGTGATAGTTGAATCTCTACCATGGAAACCAAGAGCTTCAGATCAGTTGTAATATTGTTACCAGCTGAAAATTGGAAACAGATTTTTATTTTTTAGTTTGTACCACTATGTTCATTTCTCAACTGCATCCATAAATCCACTGCATTTACAGTCCTTTCTCATGCTGGTGAAGGTTCAGTAAAACAATTTGATTTTTCTCCAAACAAGATAATATTGGTTACCAGGGTTGGTAGGTGTCGCAGCAGGCAAATACGTCGAGCATTGGATCTTGGAACACCTGTAACAGGAAATCTTGAAAAGGATGATTAGTAAACAGCTGTGTGCTAAGTATGTACTAACTGATGTATTCATATGGTTTTTATGTTCCAATCAGAGTTATTACAAACACTGGACCTTTCAAAGGAGATTGAGCTACTCCAGCAGAATCGAGCCCTCGGTGGTCCTCATCATTACCGTCAGGTAGAAGATTTGTTCACTGGTATTCGGCAGACGCTGGCAGATGTCATCTATTTCTGGGCAGCTCAGTGTGGTCTCCCCAAGGACCCTACCTTCAAGTATGTTAGTCTCATGATTAAATACTTGATATGAAATGTAGAAATAACATTTTTATTTTGCTCCATCCAATAACATCCATTGTACACATTATTCAACATGCAGTATCAGAATCTCACTGAAGTCTGGAAATAACTGGAGACATAGATACAAATTCCTGAAATTAGTGCAGTCTGGTTAGTGAAGGGAATATTTCTTATATCTTCGTCTTGAAGTATTTTACATTACTCTCATCTGCTCCAGTTTCCATCTTTTCTTATTTGTCCTCATATTTGTGTTTAAATAACTTAGAATACCACATTACATTCCGATAATTATATTGTAATATTTTCATGTGTTAAGTATTTTGCATTTGAATTTCATACAGGTGCTAAGAGTCTTAAATCCTTTTGCATACATAAATTGACACATACACATTTGTCCTTATAAAAGTGTTCAGTTGTCAATTTTGACGTTACTTAAGCAAAAATTAACTCTACTTTCCAAAAAATTTTCTTCAAAAGTAAGTACTAACATCAGAGTTACACAGTACTGTTTTTTCTAATATTATTATGTTTATTGTTGTTCCCATTTACTTAAATTTTGAAACATTTTTAAGTGATTTGTGGTAGTATCTTTGAATCATGCTTCCAGGTTGATAAGTCACTTGAAAGCTACAACTCTGCAAGAAGATGCTACAGGAGGTATTGATAATGTGACTCTTACCCTGATAATGGCTTTGCTGTATGCTCTAGATTTGAGTATTCTTCAGCAACGAGAGAATGGAGAGCGTAAGTTTCTGGTATTGTTTGAAGCTTAAAGTGTATTGTAACTCGTAGTCGAAAGTACAGACACATATTTATTGACCCATCTTGAGTTGAGTATAAAAATATTTGAAAATGTATTTCTTCTGGGATATTGCGCTGTATAGTCTGGTAGAAATCGACCAACATTTTACAGGAGCTTACATTGTCCAACATTAGGATAATGAATTTCATTTTCCAGTCTTGAAATTTGCACATGTAGACCTGTATAATGTAAACTTTTTTGGTTGTTCAAAGTGATAACTATAGCAACAATGCAAAATACTAGAATTATATCTATATCTCTATGTATTAATAATGGAATACATCACCAGAATGTATAATTATTAATTTATAATTCTACTACCTGTCTATATATATATATAAATAGAAACATTTGGAAGAAAGTAAGTTTTATTAGATGTTTTTAGATTCTGATTTAAATACAGAAAGTTATATATCCTGCTATGTTATTTGGCAAGTATTCCATAGAAGAATATTAGGTTTCATGTTTTAGTCTCTTGTTCTATTAGCTTCAGGACTTCTAAACATAATTCCTCTCAGGTAGTAATACATTCTGTTCAAGTGTAATTGCTTGTGCTGCCTCCTTCTTGCAGAACTTGTGCAGAAGTTGCCACTCTTAGCGGAACCAGACTTTATCAGAGATTTGATACATCAACTGCCCCCTTCTGGTGGCAGAGGTTGGGAATGTTCAGGTTTACAGGGACTGGTAAATCTTGCCTGGGGTTTATCTTTGGCCACACTTCATCTGGCACCCTCAAATCTTCACCCAGAAGAAGGTAAGTGCCAAATATATAGTGGTTATTGCCTCTAATTCATACTTTCTTGCCTCCTGCCTGCCTTGGCAGTGATAAAGAATTTATTTATGAGATGGAGGTACCCATGGAGAGGATTCTGTTTCTTGATTATGACCAACAGAAGGGATGTACAGTTTCATGTTGGTTCCAAACCAGTGTGTGTGGAGCGGAGGTCTACTTTCATACTTTTCCTTGCATTCACAAAATGTTACATCTGGTCAGAGCAGTGAGGGAATGGAAGGGCATGTGGAAAAATCCATGCATGTTCTGACTAGTGTCAAACCTGTCATCTGTGTATCCTCAACCCCATTGTGTTTCTATATGAAATAAAACATAATTTGGGATAACATTTTTGTACCCATCCTTTTAAATTTTTTTCTGCTGAAGAAACTTCATTTCTTTGTCCCTCCTGCAGAAGAAATTTTAGGACTTAGGTTACAGGTTTTGATTAAGAAAATTATTAATTTTTCTCTCACAAAATCACATGCTTCAGCATTTTGGGTGAAGAATGAACATTATTAATACCAATCACAACTGAAGAAAACAACTTGGGGTGGAGGGGGGGGATATAAATGTTGGGTAGAAAGTAGTCTTTTAAAAGTTTGGAATTTTAACTGTGTGTTTTGTACCAACAATCCAGGTTCTATTGATGATGATGATTTACTTGTGGATGCAGCCATTGACATGAAAGCATTTGATTTTCTTCATCATACGATTCTAGAGAATGAGACTGTTTATAAAGAGGTAAGCTTATCAGTTTAGTTGGTCTCTTGGTTAGTATATATTTAATTTCAATGAATGTGAGGAAAGGCAATCATAGAAATGTTTGGCCAAAACAAATTGGATTGTTACTTTAATGCATTAGGACTAATAAGGATTGATTCTTTGGTTAATTTAGATACAAAGTGTGCTTTTTAAATCTATTTAAAAGCCAGTTATGTTATGCCATTCATGCATGTTCCAGAAAAGAAGTTTAAATCAGAATAAAGTGTGAACTACCAAATGTAATTGAGTGGTTAGGGCTTTACTTTGAATACTCCACGTCTTAATCTTTGTTCACAGACTGCTTATTCTGACAGCTCATCATGACTTTCCATAGTTCTCCTTTCAATTCATTATCCTACCATTTGGCGTTACATAACTTATTCAGTTGAAAAAGCCAGTTTTTACAATCTTAAGTATCAAGCGTTAAAGCCTGAACTGATCTATCCCTGAAACTAAATAAGAGAAACTGAAATAAATGCTTTTAATAATTTAATAGACCCTTGTTATACCATGGGTGTTAAGAGACTGCTTGAACGCCCCCATTATAAATGAAAATAACATTAATTTAATTTTCAGATTGGGGACATGATTGTATCTATGGTAAATCCAGTTTCACAGTGTAACTAGGGTCTTCTGTAATGTAAATAAAATGCATACTATCGATTAAATTTAGAGAGATTTTATGTTAACCAGGGCTTCTTTTTTAAATAGAAATGCAGTGTAACTAACATGAAGAAATGATATTTAGTGTGTTACCAAGTAATTTTATTCTAATTGAAGGTGAACAGGTGCTGACACTGCTGTATGCTTCATTCTTGTTCCAGGAATTTTATATAAAACGGTTACATTGCCTCTTGACTGACTTCATTGTGTTGATGCCTCTAAAACTGAAAGACCTTCGCAATAGAGCAGATGAGACTGCACGCACCATACAAGTTTACACCCATGTAAGATATGCACTCTGATTGATTTTGGTGCATAGATAAGAGAAGTATTCTGATGTATAGTTAGACAACACTACTTTTACAAACTTTCTGTCTTCCCTTATATATTTCATAAATTAATTGGATATAATTTGAAACAAAGCAGGCATGGTGTATTTTGAGGTGTATCCCAGCATTTCCCTGCATTGACTGAGGGAAACAATGAAAATTCTTAAGATAGCTGACCAACAGGTTGAATATCACATCTGAGACCCATAGATGCAATCTAGTTTTGTAGGATTGTACATATAAACTGGTGTTCATGAAAGTTTAGATATTCAGTGTATGTACTGAATTCTGTGTTTTAGTGTACAGAATATTTTAACACATTTTCTGTTCTTCATTTAAACAGGAGGGATTGGAGCCTCCGTCTCACCTCCCTCGTCACTATGAGCACCTGCTGATTGCTATAGCTCGGTTGTACCAGAACACCAACACCCAAGGGCATTTGAAATTGAATTTAGTGTTGGATTATTGGAAATCAGCTGACGTTTTGCCTGCGGCTGCATCTGGATCCACATCCTACCATTTCCGCTCATCAACCAGACAGGTTTGCTGCCCTTACGAATTATTGCTAGCACTGTAGAGGGCCAAATATATTGCAGGAAGATGTGAACATAATTTAATAAATTTTAAATGTATAATTTAGAAATCCACAGCATTGCATTATCTATATTTTACACTGTTACCCTGTCTTTCAGGGTAATGTTATTGAAACAGCCTTGTTTGCTGGTTGGAAATGAAATTATTGTCAGACATTGCATCTTATTGATCTCTGTTTTGTGTCATTTATACATTTTTTGTACTAGGAACCATTTTTTTGACTAAAATTATAAAAGTTTGATTTCAGCATATTATAAAGTTGGATTATTTCAGAATGATAAAATCCAAAATCACATTTGTGTGAAACCTTTAATGTGGACAGCCAATACCATACTTCATCACAATCTCTGAGTACAGTCAGTGATTAAACATGCTGATAGGTCAATATATGCATTGTCATCATTTTTTATTTTATGTACTACAAAGAACATAGATACAATTGTATTTATTTATTTCTCCACAAGGCTGTCAGCTTCAGGATTTGATTTACAGCTCTCCCACATGCTGATTTAGTGTTCTTTATGCAGTGATGTACTCAGCAACCATTATATGACAGTTGTGTTTTGTATCTCTTGCAACAGACATCTCTGTCCAAGTTTGTAAGTGGGTGTGCTGACCTGTTGCCAGCACTTCTGTTTGTGCCATACATGAAGATGCTGTGCAGCCTGGCATCACACCCACAGGCTGCTCGACATGCTTTCAACCTCCTCAAACAAAACGTCCTGGGGAACTCAGTGAATGTCTCTTGGGATCATTTCTTCCAGTCACTGAACAGGTACTACATAACAGACATTTATGTGCTTGTATTTAAGCATCCCATTGTGCAACACTTTCGGATTTCATAAGAATAATATTATGACCGAAAATTGACGGATGTGAATGTGTTACTTGGAAAGCATCAGTGGTTTTGTCAAAATGGGAAGATTTATTTAATTGAAAGATTATCTGTTTAACAATATTTGTAAGGTGTTCTCTTTCAAGTACACTAACATTTCAGAGGTGTTCTTATGCCATATTGCATCATTATTTTTTTGAGAACTCTGGCCCGACATTGTATTTAGACCATTGTTACACTAGTGTGTTCTGAGATATTGTTGCACATGTTTTAGAAATTGCTCCAGCTCCCATTATGCAACAATGAGAGTTATCGCACTATTAAATTCAGTGCCATTGTTATACTCCATTGTGTCCCAGTAATGGGCTAGGTTAGGTTAGGTTAGGATATGTGGGTTATCTTCCTCTTGGGGAAAGCATGACAGACAGACATGGATGGGCCCTTAAGGTATTCTTTGCCTACACTAGAACATGAAGAATCCCTAGCAATCTACTTTTGAGATTGTATTTTCAGTTATGTTTTAATACAACATAATCCCTTAAATTGGTGCAGCATTATAAAATAATTTAAAATGCACACACTTAAATAAAATTTACAAGGAACATTGTCATTGCTAATAGGTATTACAGTAATTTACGTCAAGAACTACCCCCTACCACAGACACTGTATACAGACATAGGAACTACCCACGAGGCATCACCCCTCAGGAGATTCAAGGTCTTCAGGCTGTTTTGGCAGTCATCCGAACTATAGCAGGTAATAAATGTTTATATTTATGGCAAATACACTTATTTTCCACATTCATTCATTCATTCATATCCCCCCTCCCCCCATACCTTATTCATCATTCATTGAAGATACAAATCTGTTGTTGCAAAGCTAATTGCACTACAAATATCTGTAAACTTTGCGACAATGACTGATTTATTACATGCTTATTATGTTTGATATTGTCCTGTGTCTTAAGTATATTTGATATACGAGTACAGTGTTTAGGATTTGACTGTACTGCCACCTTCACTCCTACATCATATTCAGGAGGTTTGGTTTTTGTTCTCCCTCCAGGCAGATGCCAGGATAGTACCTTAAATTAGGCCATGAGTTCTTGATGCTGTATAGTATGAGCTGCTGACAGCGTTGTTAAATCCTAATCATATAAATAAGGAAGCCATAGTTATTCTAGTTTGTTACCGATTATATGTTAGTATATTATAAATGTCAGTTATACATTGTTTCAGAAAATGATGAAATGGCTCGAGTTGCACTGTGTGACAACCCAAATTGGGCCCCTCTCACTGTTTTGTTAGGCTTGGTCAGTTGCTCTGTTCCTATTCCACTCAAGGCAGAGTTGCTGCTAACTCTTGCAGCACTTGCAAAAACTCCAAATATTGCTGCTACTTTGTGGCACAACTTGGAGGCATCACAAATTCTAACTACAGTGGCAAGCACAAGTAATTATCAACCACGTGGCATTCAGGTAAATGAATCAATTTTTTTTTTAAATATATTTCAGAAACATGCATGTATTTTGAGTATGTAACATTATAGTTCTTATTTAAGGTCTTTAATGGAGGAAGTGAATTTGAACGCTGAGTTGAGAACTTAAGTGAAGGAAATTGAACACTTAATATAATTAGGCTGGGACTACAGAAATTCAACTTTGAAAGAGAGACAATTTTAACTCAAAGAATCTTAAATGGTAAAATCATTAAATAATATATGTTTTATAATATAAGACAGAAACTTGGATGCCTAATAATTTAATCTGTACAGCATGGAAAACACAATATGTCTGCATTACAAAGATCAGTTTGTTAATGCTGTTTAGACAAATAATCACTGTTTATTCTGAGAATTTCATGAAGCCCATACATACACACTGTGGGACAAATATGGAAGTACCGAGTGTTAAAACAGGTGGTACATGTACTGGGCTTTAAAGGGTTTACTTAGATTATGTTTGATAATATAATTTTTAATGGGTGTCATCTTTACAGACAGAGCTGGAAGAGATTGAGTCCCGCAATGAGGAGTTCCCTCTCACTAGGGCCCTGTTACACCTGCTAGATGTACTGACAGATGTTCCAGTTCCAAGGTTGCTGGGTGTAGGCACCCGAACCCCGGGCTTTGACCCCTACCTGAACTTTGTCATCAACTCGGTGTTTCTACGTTTTAACACTCGTTCTTACAAGAATTCAGATGAGAAGGTTAGTGTAATTTTTTCATGGTGATGATCTGGGATATTTTCTCTTTAATTTCATTTTAATTTAAATTTACTTATAAATCAAATTGATTGTCATCTCAACAATGATTCTTCATACAAAACATTTTATAGGATATAAAATATAGATCGTATTATAATTCACTACTTTTGCTTTAAATGTTTCTGAATATGGTGAATATTTAAATGAAGGAAAAATTATTTCAGCTATGATGTGTGGTGTCTGAAGTGCGCTTAGGTTTGTGGCAGTAGATTTGTAACTGCAATAATTGGACATGAAGTGATGTATGTAAAATTACAAAGAATGTATTTGGTAAATTTGTGTTCTCCACTGGAGAGTACCTTGCCAGTCTTATTAGTAGAAGAAATTTAATCTCTGATACAATAGTATTTGATGTAATATGAGAACTGAAATTTTGCACAACGGTAGCCATATGTGATGCATCATGCAATTTTTGTGTATTTTGGGTTTAAAATCACTAATTCTGTAAGTAAATACAATTTCAAATAACACCAATAATATTTTAAAATTAACATTTCTGTTTTCTGTTGTTTACCTAATTTGTTATGCAAGTGCTAGTGCATTCAGACATGTCACAGATGTCTCCTTCCATCCATATGTTTACCTGCAATTTCTTTTTAGATTATTTTACCATTATAGTTGAAGCAGTGCCACTAATAACGAGAGCAAATGAAATCAAATAAAATATCGCTTTTGTGATCTTGCCAGTGGGCTGTTGCTAAAGGCTGTCTGAAATTGATGACCAAGTTCCTATCACAATATGAGCCTCGAGCTGAGGACTTTGTGGGAAGTCACGTGGAGCTACAGAGTGGCGGTACTGCCCAAGTGAACCCTCACCCAGGTTACCACATCATGGTCTACCTCAACACGAAGTCAGAACTGTTAAGACTGGTAAGTTACAAAGTGCCTTATGGTATAAGATAATTCCAAATGCTAATCAGGTTGCTACAAGACTGAGTCTGTTAATGTGTGAACTACATATTGTGGGTGGTGAGCAGAATATTGGACCTACAAGGGAAGAGGTACCAGTAGAATGGGGAAAATTGCATAAGAAGTTTCATAATTTGTACTGTTTACCAAATGTTACGAAGGTGATGAAATCATGTGGGATGAGGTGGGTGGGGCATGTTCCATGTGTGAGAGAATTTTAATCTCAAAAACTTGAAAGGAAGCGGCCACTTCAGAGACCTAGATATTGATGAGAGGATGCATGAATGTGTTCTGGAGTCATCTAGCTCAGTGCTGGTACTAGTGGGAGGCTGCTGTGAACATGGTAACAAACCTACAACTTCCATAAAAGGCAGGGAATTTTTTGACTGACTAAGTGATTATCACATAACTTCTTAAGGTCTCCTGTCCATGGAATTAGTGCAGTTAATTGCTACATTGACATGTGGCAAACACAGTACCCTGATTGAGTAAGTGAGCTATTAAAAATCACTTTTCGAAGGCGACTTCTATCTCATGGTAGGTTATTAAAAAACATTTATTACATATTAGGAGACTAATAGGCTATGGCTACAAACTTCAGAAAGTTATTAGGTACTGCAACTCATGTTGCTGTTCAACCTGGAATTAATTAAGAAATCCACATACTACAGGACTGCCAGTTTGATTGTAACTCAATGGTTAATGCCTAAGTGCATGTAAGATGTGACACAAGGACGATAAAGATTTAAAAAATTGCATATCGTAATCATTTTCACTTCTGTGTGCAGGTGTTGTTTCTTTTGGATGAGGGCTGTCACCTCTTGGACACGTATTCAGTGTTTCCTGGGAAAGAATTGCTAGAAGATAGTATGTTGAGCTGCCTGGATCTGCTGGACAGAGCCTTGGCACATCAGCAGAAGTTCTTCACATTTATAAGCAACTCAGGTTGCTCACTGCTTCTTGCTGGACTCAACAAACTTTTGCTTGGTGTCAACCCTCGTAGTGGCAAACCTGACCACCTTCTGAATGTGACTAAGTGAGTAAGTTTACATCCTACTAGAATAGTGAAGTCTCCATTTAATGTTCTTTGAGGGATAACTTATTTGAACAGTGATCGAAGGTAAACCTTAAGTAGAGGAAACTTGACTTAAATAATGTAATTACAGAAATGAAATATTAAATCAGGGAAACTTTTATGTTGAGAATCATTAAGTGGAGATTCCTTTGTGAATAAACATATTACCATTTGTTCACTGAGGATTTTCAGCTTGTGACTAAATCTTTTATGCTAATGATTATTCCATGTGTTCCATACCGTTTCTGATTCACACACTGGCAACAGTAGTGCATTTTGTGAGAACAAGTTTTCTGTGTGTCTGACATTGTACACTAAAATTAACATACTACAAATCTAACTCTTACTGTCACATCTGAAGATATTTATCTACAACGTAAAAGTAATGCCTTTTATGTACTACAAGAATTGACGAGATGACAATTGCAATAATTTTTTATATAGTATATATTTCTTGAAATACAATTAAAAAATTATGTACTTTTTAGTGATCTTAAATCTCTGTATTATTGGATTTTAGTGCTTATTTCTGCTGGTGTAGTACAGTGCAAGTTGAAGACGGTGAAATAAATTGTACTAGTAGAGGTTTGTGTTGAAATTATTTATAGATTTTAGCTTATTTGCCTCTCTTGAATGCGTCACTACATCTCATTTACCTTTAATGGTTTGTATATGATCAGCTGCAGAATCTGTTTTTCATGTAAAAAGTAAACATCCTTATATTTTATTTTGAGAATCTTCAAATATGTTTTTTTTTTCTATATTTACTTATCCCTGTATTTTATAGATATGTAACATACAGTGCATGGCTCCCTCATCACGCACTGTCTTCAGTAAGGATTCTGCTGGCCATTACCATGTATCCTACTTCACACAATCAGCTTATTAGTGCATTCACCTCATCTCAGGTGCACAGGATGGAGATTCGTCATGGTTTTGTGGAATGCCTTGAAGCAGATGAAATTTTTTCTGTAAGTTGTGATTTGCAGAACTCTCTGTAGCTTAAGATTAAGTGGTAGCATTCTGTGGTGCTTGTATTACTTTACTAATAAATATTTCCATTAACATTTTAGCGCTAGAGCTTAATCCCTTGAATCCAAAAGCTCATCTGAATCCTACTTAAGAAGTCAGTTCTTACCACAAAGAAAACACATACATATAACACTAAAATTGCTGTTTATTGTGCTGTCACAATGAGATGGTGTATTTGATTAAAACGGATGTATATATAAAGTCATTTAAAACTTGCAGGAAAAATTTAAGTCCTTTGTATAAGTACATCCTCTTTAAATTACTTGAAGTGACATCATATTGTGATGTGTGCAACTGTTCCTAGGGAGATGAAATTGACGGTGAGGAAATGGGTGTCGTGGGAAAGACGAAGGAAGCCATTCTGAAACTCTTGCAGCAGTGTTTGTCTCATTCATCACCAAATCTTGCCCACTATCTGTTTGGTTTTGAAATTAACAAGGATATTAAGAAATCAACATTTCAGCAACCTGGTGAGTGAAGTGAAGGTCTTTTTTTGTTAGAACATCAACATGAACTGTATGTATTGATAATATCTGACCAAGTTTAGTCAGCTTTGAGTACATATCAACTGTTGCCCCTCAAATAAAATGTTCCGATGTTTTTTTCCCCTTGGCTTTGACTTATTATCTATAAAAGTATGAATGGAACTTCTTTATTCTTATTCATTTCAAGTGGATAATAAAACACAACATGTAATGTATTTGTAATGTGTATGCATAATTGTCTTCTCATGTTTCAGGTGTCATGGGATTCCCTCGAACATGCCTTCACTCTTTACTCACCATCTTGGATTCATCAATTACTGCGCAGTCTATGTCATCTTCAGCAGTTCCTAAGCCCCGATTGCTGGACTCTGCGTATTGCATGCTATATTCACTTTGTGCAAATTCTAAGACTTCGGAACCTGTTCTGAGATTTTTGCGATCTTGCAATGATTTCCTTGCTCGGCATTTAGCAAGGCTTCCATTCACCAGTGAACCACATCAGTGTGAGTATTTACATAATTTTGCTTAAATTAAAACTACCTTGGGTTAATACAGTTTATGTTTCTAACTTTGTTCATCACAATCAAGTGTACAGCTGCATAGTGCACTGGCTAGGTAGAACAGTTCAGTTTAAAGTGGCAGAATCACCTTGAAATACACTAATTTCAGTATCTATTTCATCCATTAGAGTATGCTTGTAAGATTATTTTGTTCAGTATGAATGTGATCATCATCATTGTCTAATACCAGATATGAAAAGTACACATATAAAATATATATACAGAAATATGTTTTACAAATGGATTTAATTATCCATTAACCTCTTACTGATACTGTCCCTTTTGGGGTATAGTTACGTAAATGTCCATCACACCATTCTTTTGCCTATTATGAAATTTGAATTCCAAGTACATACTTCATTTAAATTCTTCTATTTTCTAGTTCCTCTTATAGGTCATAGTTGCCGGTGATACGTAATATTTCATCAGTAGCAGGAAAATAATGGTTGCAGGTAAATGCATTCTTTGAGGTAAATTTGGTGAGCCCAGTAAAGAAACATATACATTGACAGAAACAGAGAAACTAAAGTATGTGCATTGCATTTGTTAATAATAGACCCAATTTTAGAGAAAATATGTATGAAATGTTCCAACCCACAGAATATTATTGGATTTCCAGAATGGCCTGTGTACAGAGAAGATAGCCGACCCCTGATCTGTTATATATACATCAAAATTGATGGTAATTGCTAGCTGTAGGATGCTAGAATATATAATGCCTACATCACACAACCTGTGAGTGATTGTAAAATCATTTTTTGCATGTACAATCACTCTGACAAAAATGGCTACATGAAAGTTGCTTCCTTTAGTTTTGGTCTGTTGCATCTAATGCTGCACCTGCCACATGCAAATTATACCATTTTATTGTGCTAGTAGAACCAAATTGGAAGGATTTGAAAGGAGACAGTCATTGCCAATTTTTAGGTACTATACCAGCAGTTACCTGGCTGGACCGAGGAAGTTGACAAGACAGTCATTGCCAATTTTTAGGTACTTTACCAGCAGTTAACTGGCTGGACCGAGGAAGTTGACGGGAAACGTGTAATTTGGCTGAGATTTGAAATGGGATAATCCCAAGAACAAGTCTGGAGCATTACTGCTACATCAGTCAACCTAGTTCATGATGTGTGTGGTTTATGTGTCAATAGGCTCTTTCTCCTTATGTATGGAACTATCACATTGCCTGATCTTGATTACAGTTCCTATTTGACAGCTGTGTATTTGTTTATACAGCTTCAGAGCTGAACCAGATGGCCTGGCTGCTGAAAACGGTGGCTATTGAATTAAAAGTAACAGCTTCTCAGATGCATCACTCACAGTTGGGAAACCTCGTGAACTTGTTGGTACGGGAGCAAGGTGAAGAGATGGTGGCTGTCTCTGTAGAAGAGAATGCACCATCAGAAATGACAGAGGTGACCACCATCATGCAACTCAGCCACTACTTGGCAACACCCAGCAGTGAGTTCAAAAAGAAATTTCAGTTGTTTGTAACCATCAGATATCTGTTGAGTTTGTTCAGTTATATAAATGTGATGCTATGTGTTTTAGCTGTCAGATCCATAGAAGTGGAACATTAGTTGATAAAAAGTAATAAATTGGTAAAATTGTTGAATGTCTAATAGTTTATATTTCTCCAAAAATTAAAATTCAAAAAATTGTTGTATAAAATTAGGTGTTTTAATGTTGATAAGTGCCTCTAATTTGTGGTAGTTTACTAGATTAGGCTGCAATTGATTACTTCCCTAGTCTTTCACATAACTTCATCCATTGATGTAAAACTTTGGCTTTTGAGGATGCACCTCATTGAAAGTTGCTGTTCGCTTGCGGATGTACACATGGCTGTGGAAAAGAGGTGACTGAAACTTTTCATACTCATAATAACTAAATGCAGTGATATGTTCTCAGGGTAATTGCCTACATAAATGTGGAATAAAATCCTGATTATTCTGAGACTGTAATTATAAGGGGATGCATCATGCACATATTTATTTTAATGTATTTACATAGTCTTGCCATTCTGTTAATTTCTTAGATAAATTGATATCAACGGGTAATTCTTTAATGGACTCATCCTTCGAGTGTCAGGATCTAAATGATATTTAAAAATTCTCTTCCTCAAAGAAAACTCGGTGCTTTTCCATTACAAAGATTATTTGATTAATGCTGTTTAGGGAAATAATCATTGCATATAATGAGGCTCATGTGAAACCCACAAATACATTCTGAGGGCAGAATGCATAGTTGCTGATTGTTAAAGCAGATGGCATAGTTGCCACTAGGTTGTGAAAGGTTAATAGTATTTTGGCAAGGGTCAAGAATTCTAATGTTATAATCATGGAAACATTATGAGAGAAAATGTATTTCTTACTGCATGATGTAAGCAATGTGAACACTAAAAGGGCTGCTTTGATCATATTTTGAAACTACTGTATGATCCAAAGAAGTGTAATAAAACTGAACTTGAACTGAGTCAGTTTGTAGTGATCAAGTCTCTTGTGTATGTGTTGCAGCATTTGCCAGTGCAACTCGCCACCGTGATCCTCTTCTGTTGAGACTGCTTCACTTCCTTGATTTCTCTCTGGACCGTGTGACAGCACCCAACTGGGAATTCTTTGAACCTTCTCAAGTAGAACAGGTAATATGATCAAAGTATTGTTTTTATTTACTGTTCATGGCTAATCTTCAGACTTGCCAGGTGAGGAAGTGGGGTGAAGGAGGAAGGAAAAATAGCGCCAGCTATGCAGTAGCCTCTAACGCTTCGGACTTCCTGCATTCCTTGCAAGTCTCAAGATTACAGTCACGAACAGTAGTCAGTACTGCATGTGACTTTTGTTGGAGGAATTTGTATTTACTAATCTCAGCATGTCTGCAATTTCATTTGCCACTTGTGAACATGTTATATTACAATATATGAAGAAAATTAAGGGAGTCGCGAGGTCTGAGGCATCATGCTTCGGACC